AACTAGCCTGGATGTACATCCCCAGCTTGATAAATCATCATTATGCAAGCTGTGAAAAAGCAGTGGATACACATCCTTTTCTTAGTATGTCACTCTTAGTTAGGTTAAACAATTACTAAGATTTTTAACCAAGTATAAACTGCTAAATTTGGTACAGAAGTCCAGAAGCGTACATCCAAAGCATATGAACAAGCCTAAATAATACACATCATTGGTGTGTGTGTGTGTGGGGGAGAACAGATTTGTTCTTATTCAGGCAGTTTTACAATATTGCTCTAATCTATTTTCAAACATGCATGTACACACCAAGATGGAGAATTGTTACAAAGGAAGCAAAAAAACAACAACAGTTTTGTTACTTTGCTCTTAGGAAACAAACCAGGGAAAAATAAATAAAGCAGTGGCAGGTATTAGTTAAGATACTTTAGAAAGTTAGTAATTTCAACTATGGATACCTCCTATATTAGTTGGCAAGCTATTCTCATCACTTTCTACTAGTCACAAGGACTGTGAATAAAAAGAGCCGTGGCTACTTTTCTAGCTGCACAGAAAATATACACGTTAGATAAAAAAACACTGAGAAACTGTGTGTTACTATCAAGTCAATTCTATCCCTAGTAGGGTTTCAAGGGCACATGAGATATGTAAGCGATGGTTTTACCAGTGCCCCCCCCCAAGTGAGTTTCCATGGCCAAGTAGGGTACATGAGATATGTACGCAATGGTTTTACCAGTGCCCCCCAAGTGAGTTTCCATGGCCAAGTGAACATTTGAATCCAGGTCTCCTGGATCCCAGTCTATCACTCTATCCACGACACTACTCTGTTGAGAACCTGGTATAATGCAATTCAGCAGTAAGTTAAATTAAGACTCACAGCAAGGATTCAAATCCTAGAATCAAGTCTATTGTATGCTGGCTCATTTAACAAGCTGATGAATAACTTAAATACTTTTTAGTTGTATACAGTAATTCATATTGCAATGGGACATACTGAGATGCACAAAGGTTAACACTGAGACTTTCCCTGTCATCCCTGTCCTTCTGTGTCCAAAGAGCCAATCAGGCATTAGAAAAGCTTTCATAGTGCTCTGTTGTCATAGCACCTGTAACGTAATGCAGGAATTATCAGAGATCTTCACGTTATCTCTATAATCCTCACAACAGGGCTGTCAGGCAAGTTAATATTATTGTTTACAATAATGCTGGTGGAGCCTGGAAGGGTTGAGAAAGGAACAGAGATTTCCTAAGGCGGCTTGTAAGCTTTCAGCGTTCTTAAAACTGAAGCATGAAACTCCAGCTCTCACAGGTAGCTGAAGGTAATACAGTATCTCCTACTATATATCTGGGAGATTCTCAAAAGATCAAAGGTTCCCGACTCTCAGCTGTTTAGCAGTAGCAACAATACCCCCATCCTAAATTGCTGAAACAGTGACAGTGTAGTGGAAGGAGGTTAAAAAAATAAGCAGATATTTGAGTACGGAAGGAAGGACTCAGAACAAATTATTACATTACTTAGTTCTATGTGTATATAGACAGATCCTGTAACCCTCATATCTCCTAACTAGAGAAGGGATATTCATATGAATACCACCACCACAGGTGGCTAGACCCTTTGAACGCACGTCCCAGAACCAGCCGGTTCATTTATCGCTAGAGGTGCAGCACGCAGGGCCACTGTTACTCATGCTGCGCCAATCATGGAAGGAGCCCAGCCGGCACTCCCCACCTCTCTGCGCTGCTGACCACTCCAGTGAGGAGATGGGATGAGGAGTCTCTCTGGTCAGTTGCTCCCTAGTCAGCAGTGCAGGAAGGTGGGGGAGTGCCAACTGGGCTACTTTCACGATTGGCACAGTGGAAATGACAACTGCCGTGAGTTCTGTGAGTGGTAAAGCGAACCAGCCAGTTCTGGGGGGTGGGTTCAAAGGGCCCGGCCATCTGTGGTGGCAATATTCAGGGAGACAAGTACAAATATCCCATCACTACTTCTAACCCTGAAATATGCTTTGCACCACAATTGACATTTCTCCCCATTACTGATTTAAGAAACCCAATTAACAAAATACAGTGTGGTCTTAAAAACAACAAAACAATCCATGTATAAAAATGGGTTACTGTTATAATCTCGTAACTACTCAGACTCATGGATAAACTAGACATGGATTAACTAGGTCAAACTATATTAAGCACTACAATCTGCTAAGACAACATAATACACAGTTTTATTAGCAGGGCTGTGTTTCCCAGCTGCCACAGACAAAGAAAAAAGGCACTGGGGTGTCAGAATGGAATGGCTAGCCACAACAAGGAAACCATCTCCCTCTAAACTAATATAGGAAACTATTCCTTAACCATGCCAATTCCCAGTGTATAATTCAACATTTCATTTTTAATAGAATATTTAGAGTTTCCTCCTTGTAGAACTGCCAGATGTCACAGCTCACAAAACAGGTGCCTGTTATTTCAAGACTTAGCAGCTTCAGAACAATCACGTCAACTCCACAGTACCCCTTAGTTGAAAGACACCTGTATTCTAGCCATCTGTATCTATCTGCTCTCAAACTCTTATGTTACAATAGAGGCATTTGGGTAGCAGACAACCAAACTTTATCAAAAGTTACAGAGAACAAAGTTTGCTTAAGCAGTATACAGGTAACTGATGACAGAAAGTGACATGGAATACCAAGATTAGAGGCAAAGCAAATTAAAAACACAGCATGAGAGTGAACCCCATCGAACACAGTGGAATATATTCATACTGTACTGGAGGAAAAAAAACAAGTTTTGAAATTGCAAACAGCACCAAAGGAGAAAGAGCAAGAAAGCCAAGATCTTCTGTATTATTTACTAGCTGTCAGTTCCTTTAGGAGTTTGTTGCCAAACCAACCAATTTTAGAGAAAACTTTACCATCTAAAACTGAAATGCAGAAAATTAAAACCAAAATAAAATTCGAATTCCAAAAAAATTAGATTTCACTGTTCACAATACACACTATTTAAAGGGCTGCAATGATTTCTGAGTTTGAACGCAAGATAATATGAAGCTCAACTGAACTTCTGCAAGATGAAAGGGTTTTTCAACACACACACCCCATTTGTACATTGTTTGCTTTAATACTATAAGCTGTAATGTGGGTCAGTTTCATTTTAACATGTGCAGAAGTTGGGAAATAGTCTTGCTGGGCCAACAGGGGCTTTCTGGAAGTTGTAGTCCAGAAAGGCAATGCAATCAAGCTTTGAATAAGCATGCACCCCCTGTTTTCTGGCCTTAAAACTGTGAAGCTGAAATAAAGCCTAAAAGAGCTAGACTCAACCTTTAGACCAGTGGTTCTTAACCTTTTTGAAAGAAATGCCCCCTTGAGCCATTGAGGAAGGTATCATCGCCCCCCTTCCCGTGGAGATGATTGATTGATTGATTGATTGATTGATTGATTGATTGATTTAAATCCAATGACCCCTGAAAACAAAATTAAATTCCAAGAAAATGAAATGCCCCCAAAAAAGTAACATTTAATGATTTAGTGGCAACTGACTTTTAAGACGCAAAAAGAAATATAAAAAGGGCATAAAAACAAATGCAGGAACTAAAAATTCCAAGACAAAAAGTCTGAAACTAAATTAAAATCGGAGGAAAATATATATTCATGCACACTGTAAAAAGGCTGCAGCCATCTTCACAGGTTTGGCTGCACCAGTGCCCCCTACCGCCCCCCTTCTGGTCCAGTGCCCCCACACCGCCCCTTTTCGAACCACTGCTTTAGACTTTTACAAGCACTGCAGTTAACTGTATGGAGAAATTTACAACTCTGTACGGCGCTGGGTCTGTACCTTCCACCTGTGATTTCCCATGCTGAGTGGAAATATCTCAATAATTTAACTACGCTTAACTGAATGCATTTATAGTTTTTCTGTGACTGGGAACTCTGCACCAGTGCAGATCAGAACAAGGAGCAGACCTGTAACTCCCTTCAGCAGACACAATTACAATTTTCCTTCCTGACTCTTCTGTTGAATACAGTAAAGTTAGGGACAAGGCCGGCCTTAGGGAAGAATGAGTGATGTATTCATCCCGGGCACTGAGCTGAAGAGGCGCCAAGCTGAGTTTTTGAGTGTCCTGTCTGAAATGAGCTGGGTTGCAAAGCAAGCGTCTTTAAACTCCCAACCCCAGTGATCTACAGATCTAGTTCTGGCACTAACTATATAAAGTAACAATACCACATATTTGGAGCCTGGTTTCTTTTATTCTACATAGAAAACAGCAGAATGTAGCTCTACCTGAGTTTACATCATCAACAAATGCTAGGAATACAGCCATTACAGCTGCTACAAATCATTTTAAGAGGGGTGTGTGTGTGTGTGTGTGTGTGTGTGTGTGTGTGTGTGTGTGTGTGTGTGTGTGTGTGTGTGTGTGTGTGAGCGCTACACTGCTCAATGTGCCCCCTGGCAAGGATGTTATTTACTCTCATACTCTCATCATTTATATGACACATAACTCCAACTAACTTTCTTCCTTTGATTTGCTCTACAGTCTTTTTAAAGGAAACATATTTTAACCAAACTACTGTATTCACTGAAAAGTAAGAAAACACAATCCAGGCTGCAGTCCCTTTTCGACCACTCTTGAGTATGAGCCACAAAATGCAAATAGAATACGCTGTTGTAGCAGGAGATTTAAGACGACAGCAACAACAACTTTTAAGATTCTTAGGACAAGCGGTCTTCCCTGGAAGGCAAGGGACGTCTGGTATCTTGTACTGTACTGAGTTAGCTACAAACTTCCTCCTCGTCCGTATAAGTGGATTTCTCATTCATTTGTTCACTCACTACCCTGGAAGGCCGAGGGGAAGGTGTCCGCGAGGGGCGCGCCCATGCTCCCTCGCACACGCCCTTCTCCTCCCTCCGTCTCACAAGTCAAGCACACCCAAGCGATCCTCCCCAGTCCCGCGTGACTAAACTCTCCTGGCCCCAAGGAAAGGGCCCGCCGGCCGGCCAGGGCGACTCACCCAGCTTTTCCGAAGAGCTCCTGAGCAGCAACGCCGGGAGCAGCAGGAGGGCCGGGGTCGCCCTCAGCCGCGGGCTACAGCCCATGATGATGATGATGATGATGCCTTTTCCCGCGCCTCCGGGCTTCGTTGTTCCCGCCCGGCTCCTTTTTAAAGGGCCGCCACGCTTTGCAGCGGGAGGGACCGCCGCCCCCTCTCTCCTTGCCCGGCGTTCGCCCGCCTTCTAGGGACGCGACCGCGCCTGCAGGCGCTGTTTCCTCCCTCGCTCGCTCGCGTCCCCGCAAGCCCAGCCGCTCCGCTTCTCGGTACAGTATCCGCCGGCTCCTGCTCTTGGCCTCGCCTCCCTGGGAGGAAAGGGGGCGAGGAACGCGAAGGGCGCTCTTCCCATTGGACCTTGCGGAGGGGCGGCCCCCAACTTGCCCTGCCTTGCCCGGCGCAGTCGCAACCTGGCTCCTGGCAGTTCTCCCCCGCCGCCGGCTTCTCGCGCTCGGATGGTTTCCTTCCTGAGCTCAACAGAGGTGGCCTTTGCACCCCGAGCGAGCGAGCGAGCCCGGCAGGCAAGGGCTTGACTTCGCGCACCGTTTCGGTGACGAGGTCGGCACAGCTCCTCAGTGGCCAAACGCTGACCCCTTACATGAAGCGTATTCCAAAAGATCTCCTGTATGGAGAATTAGTGCAGGGGCATCGCCCCAGAGGGAGACCCCAGCTGCGATACAAGGACATCTGCAAGCGGGATCTGAAGGCTTTGGGATTGGACCTCAAGAGATGGGAAACCTTGACATCTGACTCTTCAGCCTGGAGGCAGACGATGCCTCAGGGCTTCTCCCATTTTGAAGAGACCCTTGTCCAACAGGCTGAGGCAAAGAGGCAGTCCCGAAGCCGGCCAAATCAGGGAGCTGGACAGGGGGCAGACTGTATTTGTCTTCAGTGTGGAAGGGATTGTCACTCTCGAATTGGCCTTCTCAGCCACACTAGATGTTGTTCTAAGTCCTCCATGCAGAGCACGTTACCGTAGTCTCTCGGGACTGAAGGATGCCTAAATCTACATGGCGCAATTAACTGCCTGAGGCAAAGGGCAAAATGGCGCCTCCCCTGCCCACCTGGCCCATTTTGAAAACATTGACCAAACTAGCTCTTCAGTTCTGGTGGTGGCCGAACAGTGCCTTCCAATACATCTGCAAATAGTGAGGCAGTTTAAGGGGCCCTGGGCCATCATATTGTGGCATTATTTTTGCACTTTTTAGGATCACCTGAGCCTGCTGTCTCACTCGGCTGTAGAAGAGGATCACTGGGATTTTAGATGCTTGTGCCACTATTCTTTAGAAGGTATAGTTGGGATTTTAGATGCTAAATGTGATGGGCTTGTGCCACTATTCTTTAGAAGGTATAGGATATGTATCCCTTCTTCAGAATGTGATATGTATTTTATTTTATTTAAAACATTCCTACCCCATCTTCCTCCTCAAGAAGGACCCAACACAGCTTATATCACTAAGAGCAATATTTAACGCTAAAAACAATTTGTAAGCTTGTTCCTGATGCACTAGACCGTCTTCATTCTGATGAGGACAGCCTGGCCTTGTTGCCTCCAAGTCGAAGGAAAGCAGCACCTTCCTCTCTTCTTGCAGACTCCAGGACACAAAACTTTAAAAAATTAATAAGGAAATAAATACATAAAGCTCACTGCATGTATGTGAGAGAGATTGCTAGGCAAGAATACTTCTATTTCCCCCCTTTTTCAAATGTAGTATGTTTTTCTATGCAACTGACAATATTTGATGATAGATTAATGTTAGACATACACCCAAAGGGTAATTCCATCTGTTTAGGGTTGCAAGATTACTAACAATCTTTTCCCTGAGGTTCTGGGCCAGAACCTGAAATTGTGCCTGATTCATGATTTGCAGACTTCAGTCAGCATCCTGACACTGTGGCAACCCCACATTTGCTATCAGCATAACACAGACATGAGTCTTGACAGGTGCTGAAGGTCTCCAGGTGTGCACTTCATGACTCTGGTTTGTTTTTTCCCCTTTCCTAAATAAATAGCAGTGAATGTCCAAATGCCTGCCTGTTCAATTTGCAGTTTTGTGAATACATGGATATTACTAAAAATACTATAAGTCTTTAGTATTATGTACAAGCAAATCCAGTAATTGGTGTCCCATATGCTTTAAGTGGTGTTCGGGAATGAGTGAGTTTTTGAAAAGAGATTACGTAAATATCAAATAGCCAAATCTATTTTTAAAATCTATTTTTAATCTGGTGGGCTTTTGTAATGATAAAAGAAGCTTTGAGGGAGAGAGCAGCAGTACACAAGACTATTGCATGAACGGCATTATTTGTAAATCATTCCTTCATTTTCTTGACTAATCTCCAGTGTTAATATAATTCTCAATTTTCTCCAGTTTGAACTTCCTGGACTTAAATAAATGCTTGGCCGACAACTTAACATACCATTTCTTCCGGTCATTATTCCACATCACTGCAAACAAATCCCTGTCTCCTGACCGGTTTAGTGAAGTATCTCATGCATGACTTTCTTTCCAGTTTGTTCCAGTTTATAACAGCCTTGCTTTCTTGATCTGCAGACATGCATGCTGATCGTGAGCCAGACTTGTGCTTCTTTTTTGTCACTTTTTCTGCATAGTGTTTGCATAATATATTGAAAAATCAGCAGTCAGTTACTGTAAACAAGCAGAGGAGACCAAAGCGAAGCCAGTTACAGCTTGGATGTGAGAGCTTTAATGTGAAAGAGAAAAAAACAAAACAAAAAAACCCCACAAAACCTTTAATGTGAAAGAGAAAAACCCAAATACAAACAAACAAACAAAAATCCCCAAACAAACAACAAACTGTAAGAATTTTGCTTCCTTTCTCTGCAGGAATTCCAAAGTTCAGCTCCCCAAACAAACAACAAATTGTAAGAATTTTGCTACCTTTCTCTGCAGGAATTCCAAAGTTCAGCCTACTCATGCAAGACAACTACTCTTCCTCCCCCTTCCCAGCAGCATATTCACAGGATCACATGGCAAACCTTCATGAGAAACAGGAGGAGAGCCTATAGCCATTGCAGTTTCCACTGCAGTAGTTCACCATCCCTGGCAGTAGCAGTTATGGCAGCAAAGCCTGTGTACACTCCAGTCACTGATTCACACTCTGGTGTCTCCCCATTACATACGGAGGGGAACTAGGATTGGTTGTCATGTGTGAAGAAAAGAGACAAAATATGCAAATGGCTCCAGAGAAGGAACTGCATCTCGGTCTTTTTCAGCAAAAAAAGACAAACGTCTGTGGCACTTTCGCAACTAATTTATTGCAGCTCTAGCTTTTGTAAGCAAACACTGAAGCCCAGCTGCAGGGGGGGCGGCGGCGTTATATCGTCTTCAGAAAACACTGGCAAGGCTTTTGGCTTTTAGCCTTACTTTCTGTGCATTTCCAGGGCAACTGGAGGCGGGGGGGGGGGAGTAGAAACATTACTTAGACAGGGACTTTCTGATTGGATTGGCCAGGCTGCAGTTTGTAGGCTTCGATGATAGTCCTGATACAGTACATTTATAATTATATGCCAACCAGTTGGTTCTGACTAATGGAGAACCTTTCCCGGGTTTTCTAGGTGTGGAGTACGCTGAAGTTGTTTACCATTACTGTACCTTCTTCCCTGGCACTCTGGCACTGTGCAGCTTGCCCAAGACTACACAGGCTGATTCTTCTCTCCAGAGGCACAGTAGGGAATCAACTCTCAACCTGTGGTTCCGCAGCCCGTTCCCCAACTTTGTCCTTAATTGGATCTATTAAAATGTTCCTCGCTATATAGGAACCTTGACCAGGCAAAGGTGATTTCCCCCCCAGGACAGCAAACTTCTACCGGTGCAAGCTTCAGGCAGGCAGATTAGTAGATGTACCCTCCACATTCAGTAACAGGCACTCGGGGAATGAAAGCCATAACCTTCTGAAGTTTTTCAGCCGAGAACAAGTGCCACACAGAGCCTGACCAGTTCCCACAACCTTACATCGGTTTGCTGCCAAGTCCTGCTGGGCCAGCATAGCTCTGTCAAACTAGCCTAACAGGGTCCTAGCCCAGCCAGGCCTGCTTTCAGCAAATATTTATTTATTTATGAAATTTATTGAATCAGCCATCTACTCCTAAAAGGTTTCCAAGGTGATGTGCGGTTAATCACAGCTTCAAAGAAACCCTAGATGTTAAAACAAAAGTGGAGCTGGCGTCAAAATTTACAAGCACATTAATTGAAATAGGAAAAAAAAAGCCTGGGAAAACTAAAGGTTTTCTGGTTTTGAATATTAATAGTGTGGTGGCCTGGTGGGCCTTTTTAAACAATACAAACCCAAACTCGATGTCTGTAGTCACCCAAAACCAGTAAAGTAAAGGTATACGATGTGTTGTTGAAGCATAACTCTTATCAATTCGAACTAGCATAACCAATGAGGAGAGATAATGGGAGGTACAGCCCAACCATTCCTGGATAGGCATTTACTTCCCAATTCTGCTTTACAACATTAATATGGACATCTACAATGTTTTTACATCTACAATGCAATTCTATACTGGTCTACTCAGAAAAAAGCTATATTGAATTCAAGTGTTTTGAACATATATTTCCATTGGGGTGACTGATATGGCCAATAATCAAGGTTTAGATGAGTTGTAGTTAAAACATCAGGAAGGCACTGGGTTACTGAAATCCAGGGTGTAGAACTGCACCTTAATGAGATGAAGTTAGATACATAATGTAGATAGCTATGTTACGTATCTAACTCCATCTCATTAAGGTGCAGTTCTATATTATTTTTTAAAAGTAAAAGTCACTTACCCAGGCAGTATTTGTTTTAACCTAATTACTAAGTGACTGTTGAAGAGGGACGTGGTGGCGCTGTGGGCTAAACCACAGAAGCCTGTGCTGCAGGGTCAGAAGACCAGCACTCGTAAGATCGAATCCATGCGACGGAGTGAGCTCCTGTCGCTTGTCCCAGCTCCCACCAACCTAGCAGTTCGAAAGCATGTAAATGCAAGTAGATCAATAGGGACCACCTCGGTGGGAAGGTAACGATGTTCCGTGTCTAGACGCGCTGGCCATGTGACCACGGAAGATTGTCTTTGGACAAAACGCTGGCTCTATGGCTTGGAAACGGGGATGAGCACCGCCCCCTAGAGTCAAACACGACTGGACAAAAATTGTCAAGGGGAACCTTTACCTTTTTAATTACAAGTGACTGTTGAAGAGGTTTGCAAACAACAACTATTTCATGTCCTTTCCAATAATACTTTAAAACAACAGTAACTACCGCATAGGGTTATGTCTGCAGAGCCAGAGCTTTCCTAACGTGTCGAGTAACTACCGCAAGCATTGTTGTTGTTAAAAAGAATCAGTT